ATCTAATAATTTTGGATGAATCTGAAGATAAGTTCATTTTCTGGTTTCAAGGCTGCTTTAAACTTAGTTCTTGTAAATTCTAAATGTGAAAGACTTTGACTTAATTTTATTTTATGCAGTTACTTAATACATCTAAGGAGGTTGCTAGACTCCAAGAGGAACTGGAAAAAATGAGACCATTGTTGGTAGAGGCTGCTAAAGAAACTGAGCAAACAATGCATCAGATTGCCCAAGATACGGTTAGATTTATTGTTACTATTTTTGCATTTATGTTTTTTATTTGAGATTTATGTGAGATATATAATCTAATAATAAAAAACATACATTATATTTGTATTAAGTTGTTCAATTATTTATGTAACAATTGCATTTTATCATTAGAGTGCTTCTTTATTTAATGTTCAAAGTGATGAAGTTGTATAAATCATAAAAAACAGTTAATGTTGTACAGTTGTAATATGCAAATCTACAAATTAAATTCTTGCATTACATATATTTCATATCTAAAAAAGTTTTAAATTTTTCTGAGTTGTGATTCCAAAATACACATAACTAGTTTATGTTCTGTGCAAAATTCAGCCTGAGGTGTTTCCTCCCATAACAGTCTAGTCAAGGGATTACCTACTGTTTCATGAGATAACTGTATTGTGTCCTGCTTTACCCTGTGTGTATAAAGAACAGCTTTATAACTGTCACATGGAACAGAGATACTTTCAGATTATATCTATTTGTGATTGGTCAGCTACAAGAATAATGTAGATGCTGTGAACAAGTTTCTGCTTTGAAAGAACCAATACATGCTGTGAATTGCTGTGTTTTCGTGTAAGTTCTTTATTAAGTACACAAACCATACTTTAATTTCAAGCTTACATAATTTTATTTTACTCTAATTTCATTTTCTTAACCTGGAAGACATGTAATACAGTTGTAGAATGTGAAATAAAAGTACTCTCCTGTGTTTTTCAGACTTGTTTGTTTATTCTCTTCTGTACTTGCTCTCATATTAACATTCTTTCTAACCAAATCTTTTAACCTCTTGTTTTATGTGAATAGGTTACCCGTGTGCTATTATTCCTCTGAAACAAGAATACCAACATTTGGTCTGGTTTAAAATTGAATGGTGAATAACAGGTGCAGATTTGTTTTATAGATGTTCTTCATCAGCTCTAGTTAGGTTGTGGAGAAGGAGAATGTTTTCTGTCCAGATGGACTGCATTTGACATGATCCATTACAAACCAAGGGGCTTCCACCTGGGTGGACCTCACTTAACTATCTTGATATCAATCCAAGGAGCTTCCCTGTATGTTCTTGCCTGGGTGTACTGCAAGCAATTGATTTTACAAACTTATACAAGGCACTTTCATGTTGTTTTTGTCCTTGGACCGCACTTGGCATAATGCATTGTATCCCAAAGTCCTTCCCCTGGATGTTTTCTGCCCAGGTGCACCGCATTTGGCTTATTCATATATGGTCCTTTAGCCCCAGCCACGTATTCCATTCGTTTCTACCCTATTTGTCTTATCTTCTTTACTGGGTGAATAGCACACCTGTTCCAGAAGTAGTGCAATAGTCCACAGGTGTGCATCATATATTAATTGTGACACACCTGCCTTTTTTTCATAGCTGTCACTCTCCACTGGATTACTTATATTTGCATCTTCACCGAACCCTCCAACTTTCCAGTGTGGGATTCTAGCTGTGGGGTAGCAGAGGTAGTACCATATCAGAAGTTAACATTGTTAACACTGAAAATGTAATTCCAGTACATACTTACCTCCTCTCACCCACTTCCCACTGATTTACCAGTGTTTTCGGGTTTGTATATGCCAATTCTCAAAAGTGAGGATTGTGGCTCAAGGATAGAGGGAGCTACCTGCACTAGTATAGAGGGTGCAATGGGATTGGTGGAGTATGGTCACATGATCAGCACTTGTTGCTGCAATGACACAAAAAATATAGGGGTATAAAAGACTGGTGAGCTTTTAAAAAGTTCACCAATACCTAGAGGCCTAATGAAGGTCAAGATAGTTATAGGTGATAGGAAGTGAGTACCTATCAGAAATACATTTTCAATGTTAGAAAATGTTATCTTTCATAGTAATATATCTATGATAACCTAAAATGTTAGTAGCTTTCAGAAATACATTTTCAATGTTAGAAAATGTTATCTTTCATAGTGATATATCTATGATAACCTAAAATGTTAGTAGCTTTCTTGCTGTTAATGATTTTATGTGATAATCACTTATCATTTTACAATATAGTAACTGAAAGAATAAACCTGCATATGGAAAACTGGTCAAGCATATGTAGTGAAGAGAATGAAAGAACAGCAAAGAATGAATATCATAACTGTTATTATAGCAGCATACAATAATTGTTTGTTTCTGTTAGAATGAAGCACAGAATGACAATATTTATTTGTTGTTTTTATCCTCTTCAAAATGTTTAGTGTGTTGAATTGTTAAATTTTTGTGTACATTTGTAGTGTTGTGGTGCATGCTCATACATAGCAACATAATGGGGAGAACAGTAGTACTGTGTTAAAGTGTTTCTTTGAAAGTGCACAACATTGCAACTGTTCTCCTGCTATGTTTAAATCTGTTACTGACTAAAATTACTGTTTATGTGCAAGCCTGCATTAAAGTAGTTTGAGATACTGTTGTACTTATTTTTTTGAGGCCCCTTGAATAGGGTACAAGCAAATTTGAAGTTAATTATAATGAATACATATTAATTTAATTACAGAATATGATGCATTTAACCTTTAAGGATGATATATTAAAATTAAACGATTATAATAATAATTATTTGCTTGTACAACATGGCAAGTAATAATGAATTAGGTACATAAAAACAATATAGTGTACAACATTATGGAATCATCCCAAAACATTACCCTAAAATAATTTTTTTCTTGCTTAGGAGGAAGCAGAATCTCTAATTATATCTTCATAATCTATTTGCCTAAGCAAATTCCTTTCTATTGTGAGCAAGGAAAGGGCATTTAAATATTCATTTAACATCGAAGCACGCAATTAATTTTTTACTCTAGCCATTTTTCGAAAAAGCTCTCTCTGCACTGCAATTCATGGTGAGTAGGCACAAGTATGTTCTTAATGCCACGTCAGCATTAGGAAAATCAAATTCGAGTTTGTTTTTTCTGATTGCTTTGATGCACTGTTGGGCAGATGATGTTTCACTGTCAAAATATTTTGCAAACTGTGCCATTTCATCAAGAAAAGAGCTGTCTAGATCTGGAGAGTATATGTCTCCCAGTCTTTTAGCTGCAGCAAAAATTTCAGTCTCATTTAAATTTTTGAAATTAGATAGAAAAACAAATTTCATTTCTGTCGCCTTATATGCAGCAAGCCGATTTTCCAAATATATTTGTAACTTGTAAACTACAGTATAAAATTTTCTACATGTAACTTCTGAGTTACAGATAAACTCATTTCACTTTCTGAAGTCTCATCATTTGCCAAGTTTCTTTTTGTCTTTCTATAAATCTCACTCCTAAACTGTTCTACTATATTTGAAAGCTTATGAGCTTGAATTCCAATTCTGTGGAATTCTTCACATACTGAATTTACATATTCCTTCAGTGAACTGATAAGCTTTACAGCAGTAGACAAATTAAGGCTCTTTTCTTGAAGCTTAGCACTTGTAGCCTCAAATCTTTGAAGAATTTTATACCAAAACACTGTCATGAAAGCAATATGTAACGTTCTCATTTTATTCAACAAAGCAGTAGTTTCATTTCTTACTGTTTGCCTTGCATCAATATCCTTAGATAAGTCTTCAAGGTTGGTATAAATTCTGTTGTAGTTTTCATACAGAATTTTTGTTGAAACTTATCTGGCTGACCATCTTGTTCCATTGAGGTTCTGAAGAGTAACTGGCCTCCCATCATCGCTTCTTAAGCCATCACAAATGCTTTGCCAATACTCGGTTGAAGCACAAAAATTGTACAGAGTTTGATGAAAATTAAAAAAATTTTTGCACATTTGTAACTTTCCACTGCATTCACACCTACTAGATTTAATGAATGTGGTGCACAATGGATGTAATCAGTATATTGGTTTATGTTTATGAGACATGCTTGTAGGCCATTGTATTTGCAGGACATATTTTCTGCATTATCTTACAATTTCCTACATACATTTTGAATGTCAATTCCCATCCTATTTATTTTTCTATGACAACTTCAGCCATTAAATTTCCTGTATGCCCATTTAAAGAATCATAACTGACAAAACATTTTTGTGTATCACCTTCCTCATCCACATATCGCAATATTATAGCTAACTGATCTGAGTGGGAGACATTGGGTGAGGAATCTACAATAATTGAAAAGTATTTAGCATCACGAATTTCATTAGCAATTGTCTTATAAATTTTATTAGCCATCAAAATAATAATTTCTTCATAAACCTTGTAGGATATATACAAGGTAAATTCCCAGCCTTTATTTCCATGCTTGGACAAGAATGAATTTAATTTAGCTGCAAATTCTAATGCAGCTAAAATGTTGCCATTGTTGAAATTTTCAATCTCCTCTATTCCCTCTAAGTGCTAATCCTCTTCCACACAAAAATGTTAGACATTCAACAGCTTGATGCAATAGCTCCTGCCAATATCGCATTTCTTTTTCTAAATCATTGTTGAACTTTGAATCCACAGTTTCTATGCTATTAGTTTGTACCATCCAGCAGTACAAAGAACAAATGCAGGCTTTATTTTTTCTTGGTTTTATATAGCTCTAGAGCTATGTGACCAATTACAGAATCCTTTTATAAAAGAGTCATCAGAATCTTTAAAAAGAATGCAAAGAAAAGCAAAAAATACATGTATTCACAGATTTAATAGTAAGGGTACATGTTGCTCTGTTGCCTTATAGTAATTAATTAAGAATTAATCATTAGGTTTTATTTTCATTTATCATACATTGAGTATGTAACCCTGAAAGTACCAAATCTTTATATGCCATTCACTACCAGTGTGGTCCACGTATTGCATATGTAATTTTATATTTTTACCTGCTAAACAATCAGTGTAAACAACTGAACAAACAAAATTTAGTGAAATCAGTCAGTTTTTTTTATAGAATAAGTAGGAAACCCAGGCAGTAATTACTGAAATTAATTACAACGTTGATGGTATTTTTCTGAAAAAAAACAAAAAAACTTCAGCTTCTCTTGGGCAACTAAAAGAAATCTTATACCAAGACTTTTACTTCTTCATTGAAGCTTCTTCAGTTGGTAATAGAAAGCTATGCTGAAGACATAAAATGTTTTGGTATATCATTTATATTCAGCTTCTCAAGGTTATCTGATGTTTTATAGAAGTTTAGAGAATTACTCAGGTTCTTTCATAAAACATTTTGATAGTATTTTTGTTTAGATTTTAGATATATTACTTGTAAGAAGTCTTTGACCCACAAGCAATTTAATGCATAAATAGTTTAGAAAAATGCACTTAAAAAAACTGGTGGGGTCCATATGTAATCTCCATCAGTAATTCTAAGGTTAATGCAATGAAGAGAGACATATATAAATCATATTTTATATTCTGGAAATGCGAGCATTAAAGTTAGTTATAAGCAAAAATGTTTTTCATTTACAGGTATGTTTTAACCCATTTGATTATATATTCTAAAATCACTGTTATGTAAATGATTTAATAACCAGTGATTTTATATTTTTAAAGTATAATATAGTTAATAATTTATTTAATGTTTTTCTTGCTTTAGTTTTTTTTTTCAGATATACATATTGGTATACATATTACTTTAGATTTTGATTAATAACAACTTTTTGTTGTGTTTTTTAAGATTGTTGCTGAGACTACAAAGGAAACAGTGCATAAAGAAGAAGCTGAAGGTAGAAAAAAGAAAGAAGAAACTCAAGCTATAGCTGATGATGCTCAACGTGATCTCAGTGAAGCCCTGCCTGCTTTAGATTCTGCACTTGCAAATCTTAAGTCTTTGAATAAGAATGATGTGATTGAGGTGAAAAATACATATATCAATTGTATGTTAATTTATTAATGTTAGGTTTTTAAATTCTTATTATATTAGGTTTGTTACTTTCAAATTTCATTGATATTTTTACAAATATTAGTGAGAATTGTTTGTTGTTACTGTACTAATTAAAACTACATATTCATATGTTTTTAACATTTTTTTCTATTATTTAATTGAAATAATGTTTTGATAGCATTTTAGATATTATTATTATTTTTAGTTTTTCTGTGGATCAACGTAAATCTGCCACTTTTGTAATTTGTAGACTAGTAAAGTCTATTTAAAGCTAGTTGTGTGGTTTTTTCAGGTCAAACTGATATACCTTAAAATGACAAGATAGGTCCACAGAATAACAGGACATTTGACCAAGACATTTATCACAAAGTAATTTTCAGTTTTCTACGAGTTTATGATAAGGAAATAAAGAGACAGGACACTGTTGTACAAAAATACAAGGAACAATCTTGATTCAAACACAAACATGGTGTGTGTGTGTGTTTGTAATTGCATGCCATGATTAACAGTTGATTTTACTGGATTTAGACTGCATTCTTTCCAGACTTGTTTAGATCGTTCTTGTTCCAGACTAACTAATCTACATTTCTTAGTTGAAATGGTAATGTCAGATTTATCCAAAGTGACTAATGTTACCAATGTGACTTGTAATTCTATTTGAAAATAAGGGAGGTTGTAATCTCGAGATATCACCTCACCTATTATTAGAGAGCACTGCTGTGTGTTTTCTCAAAATAAGTGAAACTGTCCAGTATACCATGCATAAGCAGCCCATTTGTTACTTCTTGCAAATGAAAAAAGAACAAAAATAGCTAGAGCAAAAGTAAATTAATAATTTTCTTGACCATATTTTATGTGAAATGTGAAAAAATAATACTTGAATAACTAAAAAATTTCCAAAATTTCTATATTAAAATAAGAAGTTAGATAATGCATGGTATGCTTGCATACCATACCACAGCAGTGTGGAATGACAACATGTGATAATTTTTATATAGATTACACCACATTTGAAAGTCTATAGTTGTAGAAGGATGAGAACTGAATAAAAATATATCAGGTCTAGAATCAGTTTTATAAATGTTTAAGATTGCCTGAGGTGTGACTTTCCTTACCTGAGTGTGGAGTAATATCATGATAACTTTTATTAAGATAATGCTACATTTGAAAATATGTTACTGATGAAGGATGATAACTGAATAATAAAGTATTCAGATCATGGATCAGTTTTGTACATGTTTTAAATTACTTAAAAATGATGATCATTTCCTGAATTTAGTGTAATAATTATTTATAACTAATTAGAATAACATTCTTGTGATGTTTTTAATTTTAAGGTCTGTTGAACTTCTATATTTTTATATTATTTGGGATACAGAAATTCCAGTTTTTGGTTTTACTTTTACTGGAAATCAGAGCATTCAATGGATTCTAAAAGTATGTTTAATGTATGAATTGAAAGAAAAACTTAGTCCAAAGAATGGAAAAGAAAGGATTAAAATCTTCAAACTGATATAAAGAATGAACTCTTGTCATTTAAATTTCACCACACCATACCACTCTACTTTTGACAGCCAACACTTTAATGCTATCAATAATTACATTAACACTAATCACACATATTTAAACTTTCATTCCCAGTAGACCTATCCACAATAATGAACACCATGACTACTACACATGCCCCATCTCTCTCATAGAAATACTTAAAACACTTAAACGCATGGCTTCCAGTTGAAGATAGCATCAACAACACAATTGTCAAAACTTTTTTGACAGTATGCTTAAACACCTAGCCTTCTATATAATATGTCCTTATTTTCTGGGTACTACCCATCAGTATGGAATTCTGCGATAATATAAGTCATTCCTAAGAAAGACTCAAACCTTAGCCTACCAAACAGCTATAGACCCACAAGCCTGTTGAACACCCGAGGAAAACTTCTGAAAAACGTTATATCTAACAGATTACTATATTACCTAGAAACCAACAACATTCTCAACAATAACCAAAATGCTAGTAGAAAGTACAGACAGACAACTGACCACCTAGTAAGATTTGTTGAAACTATACACCAGAGGCACAGTTGCAGCCTTTCTGGATGTAAAACAAGCAATCGACTCTGTCTGGCATAATGCTATCTAATAACAGAATTCATATTCCATTTACAAGATGGATCTCTAACTTTGTCACCAACAGAACTGCTAAAGTTAAGGTTAATAATTGCATGTCCAATACATTTCCACTGAAAGCAGGAGTACCCCAGGGCTCTTTCCTCAGCCCACTACTCTACATCCTCTTTGTAAATGACATACCACTTCTGTGGCTACTATATACACTCATCTCTCAGTTTGCCGATGACATTGCCATCTAGAGCACATCACGTGACCTGCTCACCGCCATGTCCATCCAAGATGCATTAAATCAATTAGTTAAATGGTGTAAGGAAATGGATAGTACTTCTCAACTCAATCAAAACACAGGCAATAGCATTTCACAAAAAATAGGAAGACAACACAAGAAAATAAGACAACTCAAACTTACAATATACAACACCCCAGTCATTTTTAAGACTACTGCCAAATTGTTAGGTATCACATTAAATTCATGCCTATCATGGACCACTCACTATAACAACATCCTCAAAAAGACAAGCACCAGGTTTGCACTTTTTCACCAAATCAAGGATATAAAAAAAGGATGCAATAGCCACTCCATCATCAAAATCTACAAAGCTTACATCAGACCTCTCAACAAATGTGGATGCCCCATTACATGTAATATGCCCAACACATTATATAAAAAGATCCAACAGCAACAGACCACTGTGATCAAAACAGCATTCTGTGTCCCCAAATACACCCCACAAATCTCATTAACCTCACCTATCGTTAAAAACCGCATTCACACTCTAGCCCAAAAATATTACAGCAAAGCCTTAAACAAATACCTTTCCTGCCTTAGCAGCCACACCCTCTATATGGCAAACATATATCTCTCCATTCAACTATATCAACAGTGCATAATATTCATGTACTAACCAATCCTTTTATTCCTTTTTAGCCTCACATTTCAGACACGTGTCAGGTAGATTATTTGGTGCCTGGCTCGTGAAAGCAGGTTTTCTCCGGGCACTCTAGTTTCCCCCTGCAACAAAATTTTACAGGGCATAGGATATCCTATCCAAGCCCCCCTGAAAAGGGTCGTTAATCTAGTAAGTCAGTAAGACTAGCCACCAAGACTAACTAGTCATAGTTAATTATCAAAATTCTATAAAATCTCCTTAACTTTAATAAAATTTCTACTATGCAATCTATCAAAACAAAATCACGTTCACTCAGTCTGCTTTTCCTTGCTCCTTTTGTGATGATGACTGCTCTAATCAACTAATGTCATCACCACGTGGATAAGCAATCACACGTGTTCCACACCAACTTCAAAATGAGGGTCTCTTCACAGCTTTCCTGGCACATTTGAGTTGCCATTTTCCTTAACTCCACACACCCATCAAGATTTCTCTCTATATGCTTAAGTTTAAATTAAGCTCAGTGGCTCCATACAAATTCGTTTGGCATCTAATCTCCCAATATGTGGGGTGAAGAGAAACAAAAATTTCTGACCACCCTGGTTTGTCTTTCAGGCCCCAGAAATTAATTCTGAAATCTGAAAGATTTTATACCTAAATTCCTGCCACGAATTTGATTGTATTTGATTTAAAAAGAAATGTTCACGAATTCAAAGACATATAAGTGTCATGAATTAAAAATAAGACTGACCACAGAAATTTAATTAAAAAATTAATCCTTGAATTAAAATAACTAAATATTGAATTCCTTGAATTTGAATATTCCAGTAAATTGAAATAAAATATATTTTATAAAATTGAAATTAAAACTTTTTTTAAAAACAAAAACCTAATTTTCTTTAGGTAAGAGCACTTCAGAGGCCACCTGAAGGAGTGCGTATGGTGGTTGAAGCAGTTTGCATCATGAAAGGAATTAAGCCTAAAAAAGTAGCAGGTGAAAAGCTTGGGCAGAAAGTGGATGATTACTGGGATGCAGGAAAAGGACTATTGCAGGATCCTGTTAAGTTTCTTGATAGCCTATTTAGTTATGACAAAGTAAGCAGTCTTAAATTCTTACCATAATGATAAAAAAAATGTATTTAATGATTGTACATAAAATCACATTGACATAATTGTAATAGATATAGCACTGAGTAACATATTGTTTAAAAGAAAATTTTTCATGCTATTATAAAAAGCCAAATTTCAAGTATTTTCCTGTGTTTTAGTTGCAGTACATATTTCAAAAAATCCAGTTGTAGGCTTAGTTTTTCCATACATAGAATGTTTATCATTTTTTAGTTCATTTAATAATATATCATTATATTTAATAATGAAAAAAATATATAAAATCGTTTTTAAGTTCATTTAAGTACAAAGAATAATCATTGCATATGTTATCAGTTTTATCGTGTTAGTGAAATATAAACATGAATAATTATTGAAGGATATCTACTTAATTTTCACCATCAAATCCTTCTGGGACAAGTTTTGGTTTTGTTTGAAATTTTAAATTAATGTTTTCTGTAATAGTCATTACAATAATACACAAGTAATAAATTTCTTTTGAATTACTTTGAATAAAGATAAAAGTAGATCTACTTTTTTTGGTAACAATGTACAAGTTATTTTGTTTTTGTACCTGCTTTTAAAAATACAAAGAATATACAACTGTACAATATAATGGTTCCTTTAATTTGTAAGTATAGAATTTCCGATACAGTATCTTACTCCTTCTCACACAATAGTTTTCTCGTTTAGCACTGCCCTCTATATGCAAACTCCCATCTACCCCATGAACAATGTGGATTATTGAATTTTTGCACGTAACTTATCATGCGACAATCCTCCACTAATAGGAGTGTGATACACCCTTCTGACACATTACTACCTCTATTCAGTTTCGCCTAGCACTCACTTCTCATTAGGCAATCATCGAGTTAAAATGTTCTCTATTTTTGTGGAAATTTCCATGATACCTTCTTTTTTTTGAAATAATACTTTCAAGTTTCTACAGTTCTTTGTTAATTGTAGTTTATCATCAAGTTAACTTACCTTGATTTTTTCTTTGGTTTGACATTTTTTTTCAAACCTTTTTTTTTTTGGATTCCCAACTCATTCATTGTCAAATATGAACTCTGAATTTTGTGAGGATTTTGACAGCCTGTTTCCTTCACCTCCCCTTTGCTGTGCAAGCCCGTACCTTTCCTGAGAAATCAGCCAGGCTCCCCTCAGTCTTCATGGATATGATTTCTCAGGTATGTTACCTAAATAATGAGTAGATATACCACAACACAGTTCACCTTTCCTGTTGGTATCCCTCATTCTACCATCAACTAGATGTTGGTTACCAATGGGTTGTTTTATTTAGAGCTGGACCACCTAACATAAGTTCTCACACATGTATTGGTAGGGATTCCTTGTTCTACATCGGTCACATGATTCTGCCCCATGTGCTCCAACTCTGGTAGTTGCCCCAGAGGTTTATGTTGTGTGTGATAGATGTGATCTCTCCATGTGCTCCACCTTCATGAGGTTCAAACCTGGAGGATGATGTTGCATGGAGTGAAACCAGTCTGATTGTTCTAGGATTTGAGTGAACCGCCACACTGTCACATCTTTTCCTACCATCGTTCAGATGTCAGGTTCCCAAGTAGCTAGTGTTGGTTGTGGATTTCACACTGTGTAGTTGGACAATATAAAATGTCTCCCTTCAGTCTCCTAAATTTGAGATGAATAGTGTGGAACATTCTCCTACCATGGATCAAAGAATACATTCCCAATGCCACCTGGTTTTGGACTGGAGTTGATCCAATGGTTATGGTCTGATACACCCTAGCCATTCTACACCATGGGGCTTTTCCCACTATTATTTCTGTGGTTGGGACCCTGCATGCAATCGTCACCTGGGTTATGCTCTCTGGAGATTTCAGTGTGATATAGGGTCAAACAAACCGTCTTTTCTCTCCAATCAGAGGTGTGCTCCTCCTGCTTCCCTCCCAATTCTACAACACTTACTAACACTCTGAGCAAAGAATATATCTGCTACAGAAGTGGTGCGGTCTCCCATGTGTGTTCCTCTCCCAACGTAGATAACTCTACATGGATGTTCTTTGTATGCTTTCGAGGAAACTCATCTATATTCCTCACAATGGTCCCTACAGCTTTTCAATGTGGGATTCTAGCTATCATGTTAGTAAGGGTAAGGTACTGTATCGGAATTTATTATTTTCGTACACTGAAAATATATTCCTGATAGATTTTTACCTGTTCTCACATTTCCCACCCTTCCTCCCCACTACCTGTGCTTATTTTCTGCCTATCTGTCAGTGTGGCAGTATGCATATTGACACATACTGCCACACTTTAACCACTGATATTGGGAAATTTATAGATTTTTTTTCTTGGTAAGTTCTTTTCTGTTAGAAAAAAACAACAAAGCATTTATGATTCCAAGCACTGTTTGAAGTTAGAAAATAAGTAGTTAAAATTAGTAAGAGGCAGAAACTAATGTGAAATGGATATAACCATGAACATAGAAAAATAAATTGTAGGAAAAAAGAATAACAGGTGAAGAAGGCTGGTTCTTCTAAGAAATTCAGTTTTCCTCAATTTGTTTTCATATAAATAGTTATTTTTAGTGTTTTATCTATGTCACCATTTATAACTTATTAAATTTATTTTATATAGTGTTTGTAAGCCTTTAACGATTTTCATATTTTAACTCCACAAAGTACTGTTAGTAATATTACATTTGCAGTTCACGCTTTATGAGTGTTTGATTTTTTGTCAATGGAAGTATTAATTGACCATTTCTTAAACTTGGATCATATTGTTCATAGCTTATAGGAATAGCAAATTTTTATTAAAAATCTTTAAGTTTATAAAACAATATGTTTTATTTTAAAAAATTAGTTTTATGTATATATAGTTTAAAGCATTTTTTCAATCATCATAGTCATATGTATATGGTTTTTCTGGGTTCTGCATTAGACACTGATGTAATACAGGTAATTTAGGTACAGGTCTCTTTGGTTTTTTATTATGCTTATTAAAATATCAAACACTTACACTTAGAATAAAAACAAGATTGAACTTAGTATGCAGGCACTTGATCTCCACAAACACTAGAGAGCTATGGATCTAGTACGTAGAAGGATAAGATTGTTACAGCTGAAATGAAAGCAAAAGAATACAGTGTTATAGTCAAGATAAAAATATAGTGCTTTATTTAGAGAAAACACTGATCAAAATAATGTTGAATTATTGTATTATGAAGTAAGGAAGAATAAAGAAAAATGGAATAATCTTTATCTAGAGTAGAATTAAACAGACTTAACTTAAAGTGTACATGATTAGCAAGTCTTCTTCATCATTTGACCTTAATCCCATATAGCTCTGGGATTTTCCTCTTGGGTATTTTGTATTAGCCAAGAATTTTTACACTTGGGTGGCTGGCCCAGACAGCAATCTTAAACTGCGAATGTGTTCAGTGACATGGATTCGATCTTGTGACCCTCGGCATGTCTTAATACACTCAAATATGAAAGGAAATGGTCTTCTCAGAGACAGAAAAAAAATCTCCTATGAAAGTGCAAAAACTGCATTAATTGTATATCCTTTTTTTGTGTAGCTGTTCAATTAGAAAACAGACACTAGAATGCCAAAATGTATCTGTTCCATGTGACTGTCACAAGGTAAAGTAGGATACAATGCATCTATCTCATTAAACAGTACATAAGTTCCTTCAACATAAAGTAATACATCTCTGACTGATTTTAGCACATGACCTTAACTGGATTTAAGATGATCCAGATTAGGAATTAGAAAGATTCAAAACTTTTGTGGATGTTAAACATATACTGTGGGTGAGTAAGATATGTAGTACTTGCATACTCTACACACTTATTTTTTCACCTGTCTAGCATGCTCTAATTTTAAGAACTTTTAGATGATTTGAACTATTTATTTTCCAGGAGAATATACCAGATCTTGTTATTCAGAAGATCACACCTTATATAGAAAATGAAGCATTTATGCCACAAGCTATTGCAAAGGTACCGTTCATGTATTATTTTAAAAATCATCTAGCAAGAAAAGAATATTGAGGAAATATTTAGTTAACAACATTTCTTTTTGACATCTCATAGGAAGAATATAGGGATGAATATGTAAATTCTTAGAATATTCAAGGGTGTAAACTTCCATAAAGTGTAAATATTTTTACAAGTTATTATTGATATAATTTATTTAGAATGTTCTATTCGTATTTATTCTTTTTTTACATGTTACATTCTGTAGGTTTCCAAAGCTTGCACATCAATCTGTGAATGGGTACGTGCAATGTACAAATATCATTTTGTGGTGAAGAATGTTGCACCAAAAAGAGTGAGTGATATTCTGAGTTATATTTTTATTATTCTATTCTGTTTTCTTCCTGTCTATTAGTTAATACAGGTTTACAATATACCTGTGAACAATCTCATAACATTAAAAATTTACATATTTATCATTTTTTTGTAGAAAGCCTTATCTGAGGCTCAAGAAGAATTGGACCAAACAGAAAGAGTTTTAGCTCAAACAAAGCAAAAGCTAAGAAAACTTGAAAATGGAATTGCTACTCTAGAAGGCAAATTGCAAGAGTGTGTGAAGAGAAAGGAAGACCTTGAATACAAAAGCTATGAATGTGAAGAAAGACTCATTAGAGCAGATAAGGTGAAACACTGAAAGGTTTTTAGTAAGAGAGCAAGATTTAGAATGAAAACTTATATGTTTCTTTAAAAAGTGTTTAAATATGCTTGTTACTAAAAAACAACTAACTTGAGTTTATATCAATACATAATATTCTGTTTTGAAATATATTTCTTTAGTCATTTAAAAATGAAAAAAATCCCTTTTCCTTACTCAGCTAAATATAGTACTTCTAAATTGATAGACATTTCAGTAGAAAAATAAGTTTTACTGAATTTCACTACATTTGAAGCTTATAGATGGACTAGCAGAAGAGAAAGATCGGTGGCAGAAAACTGTTGAACAATTAGACTATGTTATCAATAACATTGTTGGGGATATTATGGTAGCATCAGCCTGTGTAGCATATCTTGGACCTTTTACTGTAAGTTTTGTTTGAATTTTTGGTATATTTGTATCTTTAGCTCTTCCATGACTGGTTATAGAGAAAACAATATCTGTACTTCAAACTGTCAGAGTAATAATTTTGATATTGTATATTAATAGCTTTTATTTTAATGCTTGCCATACAGTAAATAATCCATTTTTTGTTCGTTTATTTCTCTATTATTATAGTAAACATTGCTATAATAACTGTATAGCTGAGTTGACTTAAGTTTTTTCCTTTTATTTTCTTCAAACTAGATAATTTTCACGTAATCAAGTTTATTGCAAGATCATTATTTATTACCATATGATAAAATATAGTTTATTACTGCTATTACTAAAATGAAAATCATCTTTATACCCACTTATAATTGTCATTCTTTATTTGTGCATATCACTTGCCCATTTGTGTTAAATACATATACTTAAAACACAATATGAATAATTTTTGTTTTTGAACTAGACATAATTGTAGACAGAACAAACATTACTATATGTGCTTAGTTTTTACTTTGTTTTAGTTTATTCCTCAAAAAACAACAATTCTCATACCATCACCAGTTTAGGACTATATAGTTTTAACTAACTCAGTCTTGTTAGCTAATCTGAGTTTAGATACATAACAGTTATTGTAAAATTGTTATTCATTTATTTCAAATTAATCCAAACTGCTTATGTCAATAGCTATCTAAAATGTGCAAGAGTAGAGGATATACAATTAACTTCCCTTCTGCAACATTAATTTCTCTTGCAATCATTAATGTGTGATAAAGTTTGGTATGTAAACATACCATGCATTTTTTACCTTATTATTATAATACACTATTATTTAAAATTTATCAGTTATTTTATATGTGTGTGCAATTTTCACACAACACAATGTCAAGAGTCTTTAAGTGTATTGCATTCTAGCTGCCTTTATTCCTTTGTCATTCTCTGAAGATAACAACTGTGCTGCCCTTGAGAAGTATGACTGTAATACTGCACATTGTGCAAGAATGTAGACAGCATGTCTTTGAATGGTAGGTCAGGTGGTTTCTCAAGGTTATGGTCTCCCCAATGTTTGAATGAGAATGGCCAGTCACATGGTAGTACTAGTCATTCTTGGTAAATCTGACAATAAGTGATAAGTAGAAGTTATCATCAAGTGCAGTTTGAAGAAAACTTGTCAGGTCCAGTAAAAGCAATAGTCCAATTTCTAAGCAAGTTAACTCTTTCAGCATGGGCTCGGTCCCTAGGACCAAACTCATAGCCATTTTGTGCTTGTTGTAGTTTTCATGCTATAACTTTTAAATTAGTAAGCATATGTTAACAAAATTTGGCAGATTGTCAGTAAACATTACAATGCTTTCATATCCAAAATATCAAGTTTTTTATTAAGTCTTAAGGTTTGTAAAGCAATGTTTTTCTCATGCTTTTTTTTCTTTTTGCATATTGCCTATTCAACATGTAAAGCAATTTTGATTTTAAGATTAAAAATACTTTTATGCATCAGAAACTTTTCAAATTTCACATGCGAAATTTTTATAATGTCCAGATAGTTATCAAATGTTTCTTAAGAAAAAACTTTTTATTTTATCTGTTATTTTCAGCAACGAATCTCTGTACGGGTTTGGTGGATTTAACTGATCTTTTAACCACCATAAAAAATTAGGAAATAAATATAAATTATGCCTCTTTCATTCTA